GGCACTGTCGGTATAAATCCGTGCCCGTATGGATCGCGTGGAAATTTTAAGTTTGCTTCAGAGTATTCCGCTCCATTGTCAGGTAAGACTTCATTATTCCATTGTCTTGTGTCTTTTAAAATGAATTTGTCTTAATATATTCATCTTGTTGCCTGCATAACAAGCAGTCACTAAGTGAGTGAGTGAGTATGGTTTTAGGCCGTGGTGGGCGAGCTGTCTAAGGCGCCAAGTTAGTAATCCAGCGAGCTTGGAGGCGCCAGGATCGAGCCCACCTGTGACAGGGCGTAAAAACCTTGGAGTCAACTTTGTGTGCAGACTCTTTCAGTGTTGTCACATCCCCTAGTGTACAGTACACAACCCTGTGCACTTAAAAGAACCCACGAATCCGTTGGTATATGACCAGATGGTGGCCACATGAATACGTGCAAACACCTAGTTGCGGGTACAGCAACCTGCAGTAAACTTGGACAAAGTATTGTGACTATGTGTCCCAGTCCACCCAGCTGTGAACGGGTACCTCGAAAGGATGAGAAAGTTGCATTAACTCGGTGTGCCTAGTGGCAGCAAGAGTTGAATGATCCCCAGGGAGTTGAGATTGATAACATGGTGTGCCGCTGAATTGACATCCAATTGATCGAGGGAAAAACAAATAAGCGCTTTGAGCATGCATGTGGGATGGACTATAGCGCTATATAAATACCCATATAATAGGCCGCTTTTAGCAATATTCCAGCAATATCACAGCGGGGACACCATAAATGGGCTTCACACATTGTACCCAAATGGGGAATCGAACCCGCAGCTACTAAGAGGATATACTCGTAAATGAAAGGGACAAAATACTTTTGAGGAAACCGGTTTAATTTTCAATAATGTACCTCTTTGTGTTGGTTTAACCACTTTTGTTTAGCTGCTAAACCTAATATATTTCTTTCTCCTTTTGGGCTACTTTTACAGTATGTTCTATACAGATGTTAAAGAGAGGAATTTATGTTTTATTCTAAATATGTAAACAAATATTGATTGCTGATCACTATGCTCTGATATATAGAGATTATTACACGAGCAAGTGTGCCATACGACTTACACGAAACGAATGTGAAATACATATGGCGAGAGCGAGAGTTCGGGCAGTACATAATTTTCGTTTAAGCTATATGACACACTTGCTCGAGTGTAATAATTTCTTTATCATTCATTTTATTCATGTACATTTGTTCAGTAAAACACGGTAAGCAAGTTTGACGGCCTTCTTCATTGACGTCTCCTTCAATTGTTTAATGACGTCACAGACGACGAAATACAGAAACAATGGTTGCTAGGCAAGAGGGATATACATGTATATGACACTGGTTATGTTTCACCATAAGGTATAGTAAGCTTGAATATCAGAGCACAGTGATCACTGATCAGCAATCAATATTTGTTTACAAATTAAAAATGTATATATTCCTCTCTTTAAAATCTGTGTTACACGAGAGATGCAGGTTAAGCGTCTCCAACATCGTAATCTGATTCGCATATGGATTTCTTCATAATCTCCCGACATAAGAATGTGACAGTTGACGAGGAAGACTAAATCTAATTGCTGGTGTAGTGAATGTATCTTTGAGCTTTGCGATACGATATGTTATTAAAATTCCATGTTTCATTCTTCAGACATTCCAAGATGCCGGCGTTATTTGTTCTTCTGTTGGTTTTATGCACAGTGCCGGAGGTTCATTAGGTAAGTGTGCACAGGGACTGAGCGGCTCGCAAGCAGCAGCAGTGGTAGAAGTAGTAGTAGTCGTAGTAGTAGTAGAAGAAGACTGACTGACTCCACTGAGTTTGGTTTTACGCTTCGCTTTTAGCAATTTTCCAGCAACATCACGGCGGGGACACCAGGTATGGGCTTCACCACATTTTACCCATGTATAAGGATTCGAACCCGGGTCTTCGGTGTGACGAGCCAACGCTTTAACCACTAGGGCTACCCCACCGCAGTGCCCAAAGTAGAAGAAGAAGTAGTAGTAGTAGAAATAGTAGTAGTGGCTGTAGTAGTAGTAGTAGTAGTAGTAGTGGAAGTGGTTGTGGTTGTGGTAGCGGTTGTGGTTGTAGTGGAAGTGGTAGTGGTTGAAGTGGTATTGGTGCTACTGTGGTAGTTTTCGAAGCGGTTGTAGTAGCGGAGCATATCATGGGACTGTAACCTTGTAGCAGATGTTTGAGTGTCAATCATTTACATTAGACCTTTACTCCGAGTTGATACGTGTGTGGGAGGGAGTAGTAGTAGTAGCAGCAGCAGCAGCATGTATATAGTGATAGTAGAAGCAGTAGTAATAGTAGTACAAGTAGTGGCAGCAGCATTAGATAAGGGGGCAGTGGGGTAGCCTAATAGTTAAAAGCAATCGCTCGTCACGCCGAAGACCCGAGTTCGAGTCCCCACAACTCACTCACTCATCTGTAGATTAATCCTGCAGAACTGAATGTGGAACCGAACACTCAGTGCCCAGTGTCAAACATTTAAAAGCAGTTATAACCTGTCACAAACGTGGCTCATTTTGTGTCATTATCCTGACCGGCTTGTGTCGTGGGTCGTGGTTTACAAAAACAAACACTAGATTGTCGTGTCTGTATTGTGGAACAGTCGACCAGGCAAAGATAGACATCCATGTCCTACTAAAGAGCACTGCTTTATTGATATCCGATGATGAGATGTATGCTGATATTGATGAAACTGGGCGAAGATAACTAATATTTACACAAACTTTCATAACACTGTTCACGAATTCGCCGGCTCAATAAATGAAATGTGAAAAGAGAATAACAAACAGACAGGATAAAAGAAACAAAACACAATTATTGTCGCTGTTAATGTAAATAAATGATTAAAAATCAGTTTTATAAAATATGAAACCGTATCTTGAAACTTCAAAACACACAACTACTTATCACAAATCGAGAGGAAATATTATTTTATTATTTGAAACTGGATGTATTACATTTTAGTTCCTTTTCAACACACCTGCCGGAATTCTTTAAACATGATTTTTTCAACATTTTTATCGTTATTTCCTTTTCTTTTCAGGCGCAAAGCAGCCCTAGCGCGAACGTAAGTATCACCAAAGTTCTTAGAATCTTGGTAAAAATACCTTCAACCGAGATAGACACACAGACGGATTGGCGTCAGAATTCGATATCTCCAACTTATCATAATTTCGTATATGAATAATTTAAGAATTTATCCATTTTAACTAAATGGCCGACATATGGTGTTCAAATATAATTAATTATCAAGGAATACGGTGATACAGTTAACAACCACCCTTCCATGCAGCCGTAATGACAGGCATACCGTGTTCAATATAATTAATTATCACGGAATAAGATGATACAATTAACAACCACCCTTCCATGCACAGCCGTAATGACAGGCATACCGTGTTCCAATATAATTAATTATCACGGAATAAGATGATACAATTAACAACCACCCTTCCATGCAGCCGTAATGACAGGCATACCGTGTTCCAATACAATTAATTATCACGGAATAAGATGATACAATTAACAACCACCCTTCCATGCAGCCGTAATGACAGGCATACCGTGTTCCAATATAATTAATTATCACGGAATAAGATGATACAATTAACAACCACCCTTCCATGCAGCCCTACTGGCCGACATACCGTGTTCCAATATAATGAATTATCACGGAATAAGATGATACAATTAACAACCACCCTTCCATGCAGCCGTAATGACAGGCATACCGTGTTCCAATATAATTAATTATCACGGAATAAGATGATACAATTAACAACCACCCTTCCATGCAGCCCTACTGGCCGACATACCGTGTTCAACATAATTAATTATCACGGAATAAGATGATACAATTAACAACCACCCTTCCATGCAGCCGTAATGACAGGCATACCGTGTTCCAATATAATTAATTATCACGGAATAAGATGATTCAATTAACAACCACCCTTCCATGCAGCCGTAATGACAGGCATACCGTGTTCCAATATAATTAATTATCAAGGAATAAGATGATACAATTAACAACCACCCTTCCATGCAGCCGTAATGACAGGCATACCGTGTTCCAATATAATTAATTATCACGGAATAAGATGATACAATTAACAACCACCCTTCCATGCAGCTGTAATGACAGGCATACCCGTGTTCCAATATTTAAACGAATAAGATGATAATTAATAAACTCACGCAGGCCAAAATACTGCAATTACGAAGCCCCTTCTGTTTCCACTATCGATCTGAAAGTTCATATAGTATATATACGAACCCGCGACTGTCAACAATCGATGAATCTAGATGGCTACAACCGACCACATCAAGTCCATTTAGTCGGCTCTTGTGGTCAGTAATGGGGCCAATTCTGGCCAGGACTTCCCACAGTGGCAGTCCAGTTCATACATTAAAACTGAGAGGGCCCAAACTTACCATTTCATGGTGTCTGAACGGGAATGTTATACATCATCGGTACGTTTTGAAAACATGCTGACGGTGATTACGGGAAGACTAAATCTCTAAACTCGGATATATACGTGTATACCTGCTTGGTATATTTAAACATGAACTTCGGTGCCTGTAATATAACGTAACACTACATGGACGTCATGTTTCCGGAGATTTATCTGTTTATTGATTTCTTAATTTTTTTTATTTCATTAATAATTTGAATAATTTCAAGAATAATTTGAAGTCATGTGTCACGGTAACATATGTTGACTGTTACTTGCCGGCAATATATTTTATGCGAGTTTTTGTATACCGCTGACAACATATTGTAAGACAACATTTTAAATGATTTAACTTGAACTTTAGAATTGAAAAGATTGTTCAAGATAATTAAGGCATGAAATTCTGATAAAAATATTTCGTCTTGATTAAAGAGTAACATCACAGGTGTGTTTTAAACTGACAGTACATTTTTCTGTCAAAACAACAACAAAGTCTTCACCAGCTGAAACAACCTCAGTAACAGCAACCAGTCCAACGACAACCATTTCATCAAATGGCAACCCATCAACTGGCAGCGCATCATCAACCAACCCTGCAACTGGCAGCACATCATCAACCAACCCTGCAACTGGCAGCACATCATCAACCAACCCTGCAACTGGCAGCACATCTTCAACCAACCCTGCAACTGGTAGCACATCTACAAGGAACCCAGCAGATGTAAGTTAGTCAGAGAGCATCACAACTTTAGAATACCAAATACCCTTAAACATCGACCTTCGTATCCAAAGTTACAAAGGTACAGACGGTAGTCGTCAAAACTCGCCGAGTGTGAAAAAGATTCGATTGTCAATCTGTGAAACAAACGCCAGCTAACAAATAAAAAAAAATAATAATATACATGTATTTCATTCTGAATATTGACAAAAACTAACAATATGTTTTTGAGCACGTCTATCGTGATCTCGTTTCAGAACGCCGCAGTATCGCCAACAGCCTCGTTTGCCTTGTGGACTACCGTAGTCATCTCGTCTGTGATCACCCAGATATAGTCACATGACAAGGAGCAATGACGTCAATGAGCGAGATTCAAACATGACAGTCTTGGTTCACGAATAACAGCTTGTCATCAACTGTCCGCTACGAGTTCGGTGAAACCTCGTGTCATTAAATAGAACAAATCTCTACATAACACATATTGATTGTTCCATTGAACAAAATCTTTAAAAAATCTAAAACTGTACACGTCATTCGTGAACCAAGCTAATGCATAATTGTGGAAGTGTTTGACTTGCTATGACTTGACCGATCCTCGTTATAAAACATTATATTACAAAGCTGAACCTTGTTAACACGGGCAGTCTAAAACCATGAAAGAGTGAGTGAGTGAGTGATTTTTACGCCGCTTTTAGCAATATTCCAGCAACATCACGGCGGGGGACACCAGATATGGGCTTCACATATTGTACCCATGTGGGAATCGAACCCGGGTCTTCGGCGTGACGAGCGAACGCTTTAACCATTAGACTACCCCACCGCCCAAACCATGAAAGATTAGCAAATAAAGACTTTGTTAATAATTAAAATGATAAACAAACACGAAGTCACCAATATTTACATTTTTCTCGTCTTAGTGTACAAATGAACTTTGAAGCTCATCCATTTTTCTGCTAAGTCATTCCGCATAATGGCATGAAAATGGCTCAACGCAGCCTCAGGTAGACCAGATCTTTTACTTCAGTGCGATATCTCTCTGCTTGAACATCACCACCATAGTAGGTCGCCAGGTGAACCGAAATAAGTTGTGAGTGAGTATGGTCTTACAACGCTGTTAGGCAATATCAGTGTATGAAATAAGCCAATAGTCCAGCCAGACATCAGGGCCGGTAACTTCAAAATGTTACCAGCCCAAAATGGATTTAACCAGACCAAATATGTTGAATGGGCCTCACACATTGTACACATGTGAAGAATCGAACCCGTGTGTTGGGTATGACGAGCGAACGCTTAATCATTACGCTACCCGACCGCCCGAAATGAAAGATTCTCTGTTGTTTTTGGCCAAACAGATGTCAGATTTCTGAAACGATTCGACTTCATTTTTGTATCCCCTACAGTCGAAACATTTTCATATAATAACTGAAATCCACACAGAACATATATTCCTTCGATGGCGCACTCGTTTGGTTGTCGATTTTTTATGGGGCTCAGAAACGACCAGCTCGATGACATAAAATAATATAGTGACGTATAGATGTTATCTCCCTTTCTTGACCAGCTTGTGTCATTCCGTTATAAGAGAAGTGTTATATCACTCCCCAATTATACTCGTATTTCAGCTTCATTAAATGTGCTTGTCTGAATGCTTCGTCAACTGTTACCGAGAATTTTCAAACATTGGCTCGGATTAACTGATAAGGAACGTATGGAGTAACGAAGTGAAAAATCAGATTTCAATTTGATATGCCTGAACCAATCCATATAAATACAGCTCGAGATTCTCATGGAAGAAAGATGTCTGGATTAACAAGGTTCGAATGTATAATTGTCAGGATGATTCTCTAAAACGACCTTGCCAACACGGCTTTGTGACCCAATGCTTAACCTCCAGAGCCCCCGGATGTAAAATGAAACAAAGAAAATCTGTACATTATATGTAATATATACATGCACGTAGGGACATCAAGGAAATTATTCAGATGACCTCGTACAATGTTCGAAAGTGATCTGACTGTGGAAAAAAACATATTATCGGATGTAATATCATGAGGTCATCGCCTGTAGATATTCCTTTTCCACTTGTCCGTGTGACGTCATTGTCGGTAGATATTCCTTTTAGTCTTGTCCTTGTGACGTCACTGCCGGTAGATATTCTTTTCAACTTCCCAGTTTCTTTCACTTTTTGTTTTCTTTCAGACATACTCCTGTTAAATTATCTCCATTTTTATCTTTTCCGTCCAGAATTTCGAGATTTTCTGCGTAGCCTGTCACTTTTATGACCATATTACTCATTAATTTTTGTGTATTTTTTGTAATTGATATTTGGAATAAAATATATTTTTACACTTAGAAATCTTTTGTCCGTTGTCACTGTTTCCTGTCAGCACAATATCATATTTTTTCTGATAAGTTACTTACACTCGATTTGAAATGACAAAGGTGTCAAGAAATACATCGAGTTTCTTTGAAAATTTCACAATAGGTAATACTTGGACTCTCATCTATTTGTCGGAAAATACACTGCATGGCAAAAGAAAGTTCCCTCTATGTTCGATGGAGGTCAGAAATGAAACAAACAAGAACTGGTTGTCATGGTGATGTGTTTGTATCATAATCAGGGGCGGATACCCTATACTCCTCATCCTATGAACCCGTGAAGATCCGGATTAGAATTGATCTTCAGCAACTCATGCTTGTGGTAAGAGGCGACTAACGGGATCAGGTGGTCAGGCTCGCTGACTTTGTTGACACATGTCATCGGATCCCAATTGTGTAGAGCGATACTCCTGATGTTGATCATTGGATTGCCCGTCCAGACTCGATCATTTCCAGACCGCCGTCATATAGCTGGAATATTGAGTGCGGCGTTAAACAACAACCAAACTAAGCGTCGGCTATGTTAAATGCCTGCACAACGACCCCAAACACCCATTTGAACATTGACCCCATTACGGTGCTTCGACAACGTTATTTTGACCATCAGGTAAACGATGGAACAACGTTCGATGAACAATCTTTGCTGCGGAACGTACAGTCTGATAGCAAGGAGCGGGTGAGAGGGTGTCAATCAAATTGAACAATAATATGAGGTCTAAATATCTGGTTACATCACGATACCCCCCTGTCAGCCTCCTGATCCTCTGATGGGGCAGTCAACGCCATTCCTCGTGTAAAGCAGCTTCCAACTGGGCCAGGTTCTGTAGGGGGATTCCTTTGTTGCACACGACGACCAGTCATGTCCCAGATATGCTCCAAAGGGTTAAGATCGGCGCTCATTCAATCGTGAGATATGTCAAGGGGTGCTTAACTAAGTTCTTTGTGTGTGTATATATATATATATATATATATATATACTTTATATATATATAAAGTGAGTGTTGGAAGCCACACACGAATCAACCAAACTTATTGAATCGCCTCATCTGAAGAGGACAGACGTTTTATAAAGTATGCAAATCATATGCTTTGCAAATTGTTTAGCATACGATTTGTCTGAAGGAGAGTTCGAGACAACCTGGAATTCGACAACACGCGTTTCCGCGGTATGCACAGCGACTATAAACCTTCATAAATTAGTTTCCATGTGCATTGAATAATCCGTTTCGATTTTATAGTCATTTGATTTCATAACAAATAAATATTTTCCATTAGGTGTAATTCCTCATATACGTTTAAGTAAAAACCATGCAGCTGTTTACTATATTTGTATATTGCTTATCAGAGCTCCAAAACGCCTCGTGGTTGAAATTTCCGATCGTCACGCCGAAGACCCTGGCTCGATTTCCCACATGGGTACAATGTGTGAAGCACATTTCTGGAATTCCCCGCCGTGATGTTGCTGGAATATTGCTAAAACTGGCGTAAAACCACTCGCACTCACCCACTCCAAAACAATACATATAACAGGAACCCGCCCCTTCACGTTTCAATAGGTTGCGCGTCGGCCACAGCACAGATATTCCATGCAGATTTATCTCCCTTGTATCAATCACTTCAGTCGTTCCCAAGTAATATTCGACCTGATGCTTATTTGAGCACAAGGGAAAGTAAGCTCTATTTAAAAAATAAATAAATACATCATCTTTGCAACATCATTATCTTAACGGTTTGTAAAATAAGCGTAATACGTCGTAAATAGATCTCCTTGTGAGACTAGTTGTGCGGTCTATACAACTATGAACACAAAGCTTGATATAAAAATATATCAAGTTCCCGTTTATATTACGTCATTACCTGACAACGCGCAACAAGAAGAGTCACCTTGTAAAGAACCCCGGACAAGATTTAGACAGCGGTAAGTGTTCCTACACATCTGAATCTGAATCTTTGAGATACCATCCGACCAAGTCGTGTATGGAGTTCGCAGTAACGACGGTGGCAATGCCATTCATCGAGTGTGCGATCGAATATGTTGACACCGCGCACACGACACATTAACATAATAATGGCCTCCTACTTTCTCTCTATGCGTCTAATCCACGGTGAAAGTGTAAGGTAACACAACCGTCAATATGGAGTTTGATGCACGGAATACTTCCAGGTAATAAACCCTATATATGGAGGCACGACGCGCGCACCCACACATCGGCACACAAATAGCCGCGCACACACACACGCTTGGTATGAACCAAATCCATTGTACCCCGCCTCGAAGCAAAATACCGCGCGTTTTTTTCCATGTCAGTGACACGTGACACGTTAACCTCAGCTCAGTTGAACAAATGCTGTCTATCAATTGTCATGTTGCTTTAAACCTTTCTATTTCTAGATGCTTGTCTTTACGAATCAATGTCATTGAAATCAATGTATTTCTTTTCTTATTAATAAATCTATATGGGTTTATGAGAGTCCTTGGATCGGTGACCGTGTTTGGCAGCTTGACTCCTGCTAGTTTCTGGGACTTTCAGTCCTGCCCTACAACGAAGCACATATGATACATGTGGTCTCACCTTAGGCAAGAGATTCGAATCCCCACATGGGTACAATGTGTGAAGCCCTTTTCTGGTGTCCCCCGCCGTGATGTTGCTGGAATATTGCTAAAAGCGGCGTAAAACCAAACTCAGTCAGTCAGTTAGGCAAGTGAGTTTGTTAAAAATTGTCTGTTCACCCAGCAGAAAATGGGTACCCGGTGAGATGTCACGTGACTATTATCCTTCTAGCGTCTCACAGGCAGCTTTGGTTATCTGATTGTACGTTAGCGTTTTGGCGTGACACTCCGTGGCGCGGAATTCAGCCCATTACAAATGCCCTTATTATTTTTATTATTAATCATGTATGATGCTTATAAAAAATGAGCCATCATTGAGCTACTAGTGAACCGAATCACAGTAATGTCAGTTAACGAATTGACCTTGTAAACTTGTCGGATACAACCGCTTTGACTAAGGTTGACAACGTACATTGAGATCCGGAAACACGTTTACAATATTAATGTATATATGTATCTAACACATTTCATCCTGAGGACACATTTCTTCGTGTTTGTGCGTAAATTACTCACTCCCGAATAACAACGAAATTATGAATAAATTTTGCACATTTGGTTTTCTTTTTCAACATTATGGTTAAAATTATTTTTGCTTTGAATGATTATTGATTTTTCTGTGGGCTTCCAAAAGAGAAAGAGTTTTGTTACATTGTACATGTGCATAAACAGCCACAATAGGACCACAGTGACACATTCACACAGTAAATTAAATATTTATTTGGAGATTTTTCTTGTGATAAACGCGAGTTTAAACAACCACATACTGTTGTCTGCGAGTCCATGTATGACATTCTTTACAGAACCATGCAGACCGAGTCGGTTCCATACCAGCCAGGCATGACCTTGGGACGAGAATATGATCTGAAGAGCTACAGCTCAGGCCTGGACCTATTCACAGAGGAATCCTTGTCCAAAGTGGAATCTATAGATGGTCACAAGAATAGAGCACAGTATTCTGTCATCAAAAATGCACAAGACGTGAACAACGTGCTTGAAGTATCGGGGGAACTCTCACTCAAGGTCAAGGCTAACTTGGTCAAGGTTGAGGGAGCAGGAAAGTACCTGAAGGAGTGCACTGCTGATGAAAACTCGCTGGAAATCCTTGCTGTGGCTAAAGTTGAGACGGTATGTCAGTTTGGTAGTATTAATCGTATGACGGTAGATAGATTGGTAGCATTAATCGTATGATGGTAGACAGTTTGGTGGTGTTAACCGTATGACGGTAGACAATTTGGTGCTGTTAATCGTATGATGATAGACAATTTGGTGGTGTTAATCTATGGCGGTAGACAATTTGGTGGTGTTAATGGTATGACGGTAGACAATTTGGTGGTGTTAATGGTATGACGGTAGACAGTTTGGTGCTGTTAATCGTATGACGGTATGACAGTTTGGTGGTATTAATCGTATGACGGTAGACAGTTTGGTGGTGTTAATCATATGATGTTAAACAGTTTGGTGCTGTTAATCGTATGACGGTAGACAATTTAGTGGTGTTAATCGTATGATGGTTGACAATTTGGTGGTTTTAATCGTATGGCGGTAGACAGTTTGGTAGTATTAATCGTATGGCCGTAGACGGTTGAGTAGTATTAATCGTATGGCGGTAGACAGTTTTGTAGTATCAATCGTATGACGGTAGACAGTTTGGTGGTATTAATCGTATGGCGGTAGACAGTTTGGTGGTGTTAATGGTATGATGGTAGACAGTTTGGTGGTATTAATCGTATGACAGTAGACAGTTTGGTGGTGTTAATGATATGGCGGTAGACAGTTTGGTGGTGTTAATGGTATGACGGTAGACAGCTTGGTGGTGTTAATGGTATGACGGTAGACAGTTTGGTGGTGTTAATGGTATGATTGTAGACAGCTTGGTGGTGTTAATCGTATGACGGTTTACAGTTTGGTGGTGTAAACGGTATGGCGGTAGACAATTTGGTGGTGTTAATGGTATGACGGTAGACAGTTTGGTGGTGTTAATCGTATGGCGGTAGGCAAATTGGTGGTGTTAATCGTATGACGGTAGACAGTTTTGTGGTCTTAATCGTATGATGGTATGACAGTTTGGTGGTATTAATCGTATGACGGTACGCCAGTTAGATAATACTAATCGTATGACGGTAGACGGCTGAGTAGTATGAATCGTATGACGGTAGATAATTTGGTAGTATCAATCGTATTGCGGTAGACAAGTTGGTGGTATTAATCGTTTGATGGTATGACAGTTTGTTAGTATTAATCGTATGACGGTACGCCAGTAAGATAATACTAATCGTATGATAGTATGTCAGTTTGAAGGTATGAATAATGTTGTTGTTTTTAAAGAAATAACTGACTATATCTTTGATTAATTTCTGATATCCAAAGTAGAATTAATGATATATTTAGATGTCACAAGAAAATATTTCGCGATGTCTCTAAATGTGTTTATGATATCAATAAAACATCTTAAATTCAAATGTCTTATAATAATGTATACATAACCATAAACGCAAATACGTTGTTCACAGATATAATTGAAACGATGTATAATTTAATTTGAGATATCTTTGATTAAATTCAAGATAGCTTTAGTCCCGTCTGATACCGCTGGAAATGCCAAACTGTGGGAATTGAGCTTCGTGTTAGTAGAGTTTCGTACCCTCTATGTTTCTTTATGTTCATGATCATAAACAAACATAGAAGGTACATCAACCCATTCTACACGTTCGAGGATATAGGGGGGTCCGCTGGCATGCTCCTCCGTGGATTTTTTTTATAATTAGATGCTCTCAGATACAATTTCCTGCTTTCTGAAGGTAAAATGACTCCTTATATGTAATCTCCAATTTTGCATACAATATTATCTTTTCCTGCTACGTTTGACCAATTTAAAAAAAATTGTAGCATCTGTACATAATGTTCTGAACTAAACTTTATAAATATACATACTAGACATATCTGTGTATATGCAAAACAACTTTTTTGTTCAGTTTAGGTATTGATATACAATGGTTGTATTATTAAATTCAGTTGATAGTCGAACAGTTGAGAACTTGCACATGTGATTTACATCATATACATGATATCTTCAGGTTTGTTCAGGTCGTGTGGATTGAATCCTTTTTCCAATTGAGTCTTTTGTTCGTTAATTATCATTAGGTATTCAGAGAGGGGTGGTGTGTGTGTGTGCGGGGGGGAGGAGGAGGGGGTGTTAGTCGTGTGTGTGTGTGTGTGCGTGCGCGGGTGCGTGTGCGTGTGTGTTTAGTCTAGTGGTTAAAACGTCCGCTCGTCACGCCAAAGACCTGGGTACGATTCTCCACATGGGTACAATGTGTGAAGCCCATTTTCTGGTGTCCCCCGCCGTGATATTGCTGGAATATTGCTAAAAGCGGCGTAAAACGAAACTCACTCAGTTTATAGGGTTCCGGGTATATATGTATGTATATATATATGTATATTTATTGATTTTAGTTGCAATCAGGTGTAATTAGGTGTATCAGTCTGGTACCGATCATCTGAAAGATGCGCTGCCCGCAGTCTTTGCGTCATTAATTCAGGTGTGGATTTCAGTGCTGCGGTGGGGGTATATGGCACTCAAAAGAGTGTTATATCAATACTTTGATGTACAAAAAATAATTTGTAAAAGGATTCTACGGCCCTGAACATTCACCTGAGGAAAAACGTCCCAGCCAGCACAGGGAAACGACAAACAAAACAAAACTGAAACAGGCTATAGCATGCTAGTCCATGGGATTGCAATGTTGTTGGAAGCGCTCATACGTGAAACCTCCCACAAGGTAGTGGGTATAGTCCGTATATAAATTGTTAGTTACATTACATTGTGGAGAAATTTGTGGAGACTCTCATAGAAATAATACTTCCACCGGTCAGTCGGTTTCATGTTCCTCTTTGACTTTGTGTCAAGATTTGTGGTTTATGACGTCTGTGTACCTTTTGTATTCAGTAGTTTGAATAAACAAGTTATTCCACGAATCATAACTGGCAACAAAGGAAAACTCGGTTATAAGCGTGAGGTGTAAGACTGGGATACAATGCTCTAGGCCCCAATTATAGAATTTCATCTCAACGCTGTGAACGACTTAAATTCCCTGTCGCACCTGCACCACTCATTATGAATTATTACTACTTATTATTAAACATTAATAATGAAGTATTAATTTCAATACTAAGACATTGGTTGATAAAAATATGCACGTATAATAACGTAATTCATGACACGATTAGTAATAATAATTAAACTGGAAGTAAAATATAAGAGTAATGACTTCAATATTAGACTGACTGAGTATGGTTTTACGCCGCTTTTAGCAATATTCCAGCAACATCACGGCGGGGGACACCAGAAATGGGCTCCACACATTGTGCCCATGTGGGGATTCGAACCCGGGTCTTCGGCGTGACGAGTCAACGCTTTAACCATTAGGCTACCCCACCGCCCCCCTTCCATATTAGAACGGAATACGAAAGTAAGGCCTGAAATGCTTGGAAAATGCTTTTTGGCTTCAATATCGACACAAGATAAAAACACATATATGATACATGTACGACTCTACCTAGTTGGATATTAAAGCTCAGATGAAAAAATGCACTCGAGGGGTGACTTCACAGGAGGAAGTTTTGACATTTTAACAACATTCGTAAATATTTTAAGTACAAACTGTAGTTTTGAAATACAGACTATAATTATTCATATATCCTCAACTAATGAAATTACATAAATGATTGTAATTTTTTTATTTTTTAACATCTGTATGTGAAATAGATGAAACTCTTGTAGTAGTTATATTCAAAATAATTACGACAAAAAGTCTTAATTCAAATCGCATAGATAATCTTGTTCACCCATAGAAGTGTCACTTCGTGTATAAGCATTGAACTGGCAACATGCAACTTGATATCTCTGCAGAATAATTAATTTCAAATTTATACCAGTATTTCATACCGGAGAAACAAAGGGGAGAACCACTCGTCAGCTATGACAGGGTTACTTTAGAATGAGTAAAGCCCTTAATTAGACATATAATCAGGTTTACAAAGTTGTAAACAAATCAGTTACCTCAGGGTCGTGTCAAAATCAAAACCAGGTAGGAACCACAAACTGGAAAAAAAATGTCGAAATAAATGCTTTGCCATACGTATATTACCTCCTTTCTCGTAATGTACAATCCGAGTCAGTTTCTAAGATCCAGTGCACACCGACATATAAGTATAAGACATTGACAGCATCTTCAGTTTGTCAAAATAAGGATTGTTTAAAATGAATTTCTATTACAGGTAACAGAAACCATGAAAGAAACTAAAATTAGACCAGGTGTAAAGAGCAAACTCCAAGGCACCCATTTCGTCCGAAGCATCACATATGGAGGGGAACTGCTGGTTAGAATATGGATCAAGAATTCAGACAAAAGACAACTGGACGAAATCAAGGCTGATTTGACAGGTAACTTATCTTTAAATGGCATTGTGGATGCCGGAGCCAAAGCGAAGTTCAAGCAACTGGAAAAGGACTTAACCAGTAGCTCGGAGATGAACATCAGCTACTTTTCAACAACACCAAGCAGCCAGGTGCCAAGAGATATTGATGGAATGCTTCAAGTGCTGGATAACTTTCAACATGAAGTAAAGAAACAAAATGATGGGAAAGGATGTCCAATTAGGTGTGAGCTTGTACCTTTGAAATTCCTTTCCCGCAAGCTCCCAGACATGATCAGGGACAAAGGCCTGGAGGTTCTTCTTGAACAGCTAGAGACAAATTTCGATGACCTCCTCGTGGCAAGGGCGAAGTTAGATTCATTTCTTGGAGACATTGATACTGAACTGATAGAAAGTCAGGAAGAAGAGGGTGGTGGCATTGACCAGCGGCTCAAAGAAGTGTTACGGATCTACCAGAAGGTTGTAGCAGAACTTGACCTCAGCAAGAGGAGGAGAGGATCGGAACCAATTGAACAAGCCTTCAAAGTCTATGACTCTAAAAAGAAATTAGGTGGTTTCAGAAAGGAAGTTTCGAGGTTTATCGCTAAAGTTAGATCACCCAAGGTAAGTATGAAAAAGGGAATGCTCTGTTAAATGCCTACAAGATAGATACGTTAGATAAGGATTTACAAGATAGTTGTGAAGTAGAAATGGTCATAGTGCAAAACTCTATATAAATGCAGTTAAAGATGTTTGTATCATTTGAATAGCCGTGTATATTTATCTGCAGAATACTGCGCGGATTGCAACCATCTTTCAAACAATACTTCTGATTAGCTATTTGTAAAAGCATTGCATTCCTCCTGAAAAGGACTCAGGCACCATTGTTTAAAGAGATTCTTTCTTTAGTCATGTGAGGATGTGATCCAAGGCCCTTCCCGATTACATGCAGCTACCTATCCGTTCTCTGTGTCCTTGACCTTTACGACACAGTGTATCATTGAAAGCTGTAACGTCATGGAACTCTTAATGAACTCAAAGTGAGCTACGACTTATGTTAAAGTTAATGTTTCAGGAGAAAAGTACACCCGTGGCAGATCTACCACAAGGGGGCCCTCTGGATATCATTTTGGTGGGCAAGGCAAATCGTGGTGCCAGCACTACGGGAAACACCATTTTTGGACAAAAGAAGTTTTTCAGCCAAATACCAACAGAAACTATGATTTCTCCGTGTCTGAAGATCAGCGATTCAGTTGGGGGACGTGATCTTAATGTTGTGGATTATGGTGGGATGGTTGATCAGGCTCTGACTAGGAATATGATGAGCATGCTTAATCAGTCAGGGATGTGGTTCCCCCGCGGTGTTCATGTAATTCTGTTGGTTATGTCTGCCATCGAGCGCCTGAGCAAGGAAGAAATTTCTGCAATAGAGTCACTCCGTCAGTCGGATCAGAACATCCTTGGGAAATATGTCATCTGCGTCTTTACTCACGGAGACTCATTTGACCGCCAGATGGAACTGGATGGAAGGTCGCTAACATTTAGCCAGTACATAGAATCTGTGGGAGGTCCAATGCAGAAGCTGCTGCAGGATTGTCATAACCGTTACATCTTATTTAACAACGCTGAAGCAGATCCTGGGAAGAAGAGAGAAAGGGTCACTGACCTAATTAGACTGATTGACATTCTTATCAAAGAAAATGGGGAAGAGAAACTTTCTCTTGACCCTGACAATGTATCCGATGACGATGACTGTTAAATCTTGGCTCGATTTTGAGGATAAGAGTTTGACCTTTGGTTTAATGATTTAATTTGAATATGGAAAGTGTTGGGGATACACACAAGTTTCGACGTTGCCAATAGCTTTCAGCAGTTATGATGTATTTAGCTCATTGCCAATAGTATTTAGGAAATCATGGTCACCGCATTTTCTCTAAAAAGCCTGACATTTTATTATCACTGTCTGAAGCAGTGGGCGGTGGGGTAGCCAAGAGGTTAAGGTGTCAGCTCTTCACGTCGACCCGGGTTCGATTCCCCCGTGTGTATAATGTGTGAAGCCCATTGCTAGTGTTCCCAGCTGTGATTAGAATGTTTCTAAAAGCGGAGTAAACCATACTCACTCACTCATTGACGCACGCACGCACTCACGCACTCACTCACTCAGTACACAAGTCAAAACATTGATTACACAACAGTCTCGTTTCCTGCTGACTGGGTTTCGTCCTATTGCTCAACATAGTACAATAACCAGTCCAGAATTTTGAGACCAATTCATTCAACTGGATGTATAAATATTAATCAGTATTATTTGGCAATCTGGAAGCGAGGCTCTGCCGCTAGAAACGTTTGGCGGTCTGGTACGGACTTGATATTATATCAATCACATTGTGCGTTACAGAACCCATAACAGGTGTCACCAGTGAGCCAGATGAATTGTGAATCATTTTACGACCTCATCAAACAGGGGCAGTCTGTGAATTCTTAGTTAAGGTCATGCTGCCTAAACCTAGATATAAAATATAGAAATACGATGTTATTAAAGTTTAAAATTAAAATTAACTTGTAAATACCATTTTCTTATGAAACAAGGAATTTGAATTCAGTGTAACCATAGTTGTTTGTGGTGTCTCTTTTCACTTTCACACGAGAAACTTCGGATCGGCTGAAAAGTAGCTCATTGTCTGAATAGGTTAATGAGACTCATGTTCGGTTTGGTCTTTAGAAGCCAGCCCCATTAGCCGTCACTGACGTTATCTCCAATGAATTTCCCCATCTCAGTGTTGTCATTATGCTTTTACCTGAAGGTCGATGGTTCGATCACCTGTCCGCGTCATGCCAAAAGAAATTCCTGGAAATGCAGAAGCCATAAATAAAGCAAGTCTAGGTTACCACAGGTATATGCATGTTCGTCTCTATGTGAGTTATATATATTATTTCACTTCATTTCACAGAGTATGAAGCGTGATAATCTTGATATTATATGTGATGTAACAGTGTCTCTGTTTACCACGATGTCACTTAATTGTTACCACTCTCTGGTGACCACTGGATCTCAATGGGATTCTTTCCTCGGTTATCTCCCTCTACCACATCGCCAACAGATAGCACCAATCACTACGGTCCTAAGTGTACTTCCTGTATATAAGTGCGGTTCAAAGTTTCTTGCATGGCCGATTTCAAAAGCGCAGCCATTACGATGCCTGAGACGTCGTGTTTCAGGATGCTGCAAAACAGATGGTTCGACGTGCCCGACAGGTCAATTCATGCTGAAATGGTGGTTGATTTTTTCGAATTCGAAGAAGCAACAAATCAAACAAAAGCAAGATGATGAAGCCGTCAACTCTCGCTAGTGTCGGTGTTGTGTGCTTCTGACCGACGAATTTCATTGCTGCAACTCATTTTTGTATGTACCACATATTTCGTATGCTTTAAAGTTTTAATAAAACGTTTGTTATGTTATTATTCCTGCCGGATCTAGTTGACGTGTAAACCAACAGAAAATACGAGCAGGGTTTTACGTGACGCAGAAATGTGTTGAAAGAATTTATTCAGGGAAAAAGAATATGTTGCTTCCAGAGGGACACACAATTATATTCACCGTACCAAACTCTTCATTAGGGGCCTCTCGCTGTGGTAATCATCAGACCTTAGTAGTCACCTTACAGTACACAGTCTTTTCGCTTCACAAAGGGCGCAGCCTGAGGCGTTACCTCAGCAGAATGCCACTAATTTCATCTGGCGAAAACGGCACCCTAATAAAGATTAAAACAATTTCTGTAGTAGCTTGCTTTTTTCATTGATAAATTGATTCCAATTGCCTACCATACTATGACTTAAACACGGCCATTGGATTCTAATATCAATCTGATCTATTGTATCTATTTTCAACTGTATTTCAATCATGATTTAGCAAAGCATTCATCACTTGATATGGCCTGTTGATTTATCCTGCCTGTCTTCTCTCACACAGCACATCAATATGACAGCACCTGGTCTAGATCTTAAATACGGTGGTCAGTTTGACATTGCGTTACATTGAGCATGTAGGTCCTGGGATACATGTAATAATTAGGGGTGAAACGGTATACCGCGGTATAAGTAGAACCGCTGTATTTTCCATTCCGTTCGGTATACCGTAATGTAATCCAGAAATGGCAGAGTAACTGTAGTAACATGAAAACATCGGTGATCAGTGGCGTGGCAGACTAACTGTAGTAACATGAAAACATCGGTTGTGAGTGGCGTGGCAGACTAACTGTAGTAACATGAAAACATCGGTTGTCAGTGGCGTGGCAGACTAACTGTAGTAACATGAAAACATCGGTAGTGGCGTGGCAGAGTAACTGTAGTAACATGAAAACATCGGTTGTCAGTGGCGTGGCAGAGTAACTGTAGTAACATGAAAACATCGGTTGTGAGTGGCGTGGCAGAGTAACTGTAGTAACATGAAAACATCGGTGGTCATCGGTTGTGAGTGGCGTGGCAGAGTAACTGTAGTAACATGAAAACATCGGTTGTGAGTGGCGTGGCAGAGTAACTGTAGTAACATGAAAACATCGGTTGTCAGTGGCGTGGCAGAAGTAACTGTAGTAACATGAAAACATCGGTTGTCAGTGGCGTGGCAGAGTAACTGTAGTGGCGTGGCAACATGAAAACATCGGTTGTCAGTGGCGTGGCAGAGTAACTGTAGTAACATGAAAACATCGGTTGTCAGTGGCGTGGCAGAAGTAACTGTAGTAACATGAAAACATCGGTTGTCAGTGGCGTGGCAGACTAACTGTAGTAACATGAAAACATCGGTTGTCAGTGGCGTGGCAGAGGTAACTGTAGTAACATGAATACATCGGTTGTGAGTGGTGTGGCAGATTAACTGTAGTAACATGAAAACATCGGTTGTCAGTGGCGTGGCAGAGTAACTGTAGTAACATGAAAACATCGGTTGTGAGTGGCGTGGCAGATTAACTGTAGTAACATGAAAACATCGGTTGTCAGTGGCATGGCAGGCTAACTGTAACATCGGTTGTGAGTGGTGTGGCAGATTAACTGTAGTAACATGAAAACATCGGTTGTCAGTGGCGTGGCAGACTAACTGTAAAATGAATAACATGAAAACATCGGTTGTGAGTGGCGTGAAAACATCGGTTTGTCAGAACTAACTGTAGTAACATGAAAACATCGGTTGTGAGTGGCGTGGCAGACTAACTGTAGTAACATGAAAACATCGGTTGTGAGTGGCATGAAAACAGGCTAACTGTGGCAAAATAACCGATACATCGGTTGTGAGTGGTGTGGCAGATTAACTGTAGTAACATGAAAACATCGGTTGTCAGTGGCGTGGCAGACATAACTGTAGTAAACATGAAATACATCGGTAGTGGCGTGGCAGATTAACTGTAGTAACATGAAAACATCGGTTGTGAGTGGCGTGGCAGACTAACTGTAGTAACATGAAAACATCGGTTGTCAGTGGCGTGGCAGAGTTAACTGTAGTAACATACGAAAACATCGGTTGTGAGTGGCGTGGCAGACTAACTGTAGTAACATGAAAACATCGGTTGTGGTGGCGTGGCAGATTAACTGTAGTAACATGAAAACATCGGTTGTCAATGGCGTGGCAGATTAACTGTAGTAACATGAAAACATCGGTTGTGATGGCGTGGCAGATTAACTGTAGTAACATGAATACATCGGTTGTCAGTGGCGCAGCAGGCTAACTGTAGGAATACAAAGATTAACTGTAGTAACATGAAAACATCGGTTGTCAGTGGCGTGGCAGACTAACTGTAGTAACATGAATACATCGGTTGTGAGTGGCGGCAGACTAACTTAGTAACATGAATACATCGGCGTGTGGTGTGGCAGATTAGAGTTAACATGTGTCAGTGGCGTGGCAACAACTGAAAGTAACATCGGTTGTGAGTGGCGTGGCAGATTAACTGTAGTAACATGAAAACATCGGTTGTCAGTGGCGTGGCAGATTAACTGTAGTAACATGAAAACATCGGTTGTGAGTGGCGTGGCAGATTAACTGTAGTAAAATATGAAAACATCGGTTGTGAGTGGCGTGGCAGACTAACTGTAGTAACAAAAATACATCGGTTGTGAAATGGCGTGGCAGGCAGACTAACTGTAGTAACATGAAAACATCGGTTGCCAATGGCGTGGCAGATTAACTGTAGTAACATGAAAACATCGGTTGCCAATGGCGTGGCAGAGTAACTGTAGTAACATGAAAACATCGGTTGTGAGTGGCGTGGCAGACTAACTGTAGTAACATGAAAACATCGGTTGCCAGTGGCGTGGCAGACTAACTATTGTAATATGAAAGAACAGGGTTTTCTTATCTGTACTTTTGACCAACGTAGAGTTCCAACGATTTAATACAAAAACAGTTTAATACACTGGATAGGACAGGGAAAAGATGTTATGGAAATGGTGATCTCTGCCAGACACACATGAGCACTGATTTAAGAGTTATATCATAGTGATCTACAGCAGGGGAGCGCACGATGTCCCTGCGAGGGGAGACGTGGAGGACTGTGTGGGGAGCAGACCCGTTGAGCTGATGGTTTTCCCAAGCTTATCCAAGGCGTTTTATGAAAAGGTTGTCTATCCTCTCGATTTTGAAGAAAAATGCCATTATCATATTTTTTGCAGTATGAAAGATAAATGCGCTTCAGGTAAAAAGCAGCATAAACTACATTTGGCCCAAAAAATTACAACTTATCAAGATCGTACTTTGCTGAAAACCTTCGCCGAAATTCTGCAAACATAAGGTACTATACATGCCCAGCTGAAATTACCATTTCTTGCTTGTTTCATTTTAATCCACTATATTTGACTTGATAATTTTATTAGCTACATTTCATATCTATAAATGTAAACTTAGAAATCGAATACCGCAATTATCCGTTTTTAAAAGAAACATATAAAATAACACAGATACTATAGCAAAGCAGGAATACATAACAAATGGAAACAATATGTAAAATCTTTTTCAGTAGCAAACATTGACAATATGAATTAATTTATTTTAGTAGTATTATTGTATGCATGTGAGAGAATGTTGTATCTATGTGATAAAAAACTCGGATGTGTCCATTTTCTTTATATACATTGTATACATTTATTCCGAGAAAAAAAAAATAAAAAATTATTGTTCAGAGTTGCATGTACTCACCCAGCC